CCCAGAGGTCACCAGATTCCCCCATCTGAGAGACCGAGAAACTGAGTCCCTCCAGAAAGCAAGTGGTACATATATGATGGCGGTTTCCCACCAGCAAGGGGCAGGTGGGAACTCAAATCTCCACCCCCAGCCTGGCATGGTAGCGCACACCTATCACTCCGTCACTCAGGAGGCTGAGGTGGGAGGATCGCTACGAGTCCAAGGCCAGCCTGGACTATAAGCAAGACCCTGTCTCAAAAAATGAAAAAAAAAAAATCCACATCTCTACCCTCCCTGTCAAGTGCACTGTCCCGGCAGGAGGCTGCTTGTCCCAGGCCTCCTCCCTGTCCTGTCCCTGGGTGTCACCCAGCACACAGGACACGCTACCTGTTGTTATTCCTGAGTCTCACGTGGCCTCCAGGCCCCAGCACCTCCCCGTTCTTCAGCCACGTGACGTGAGGCGGTGGCTCTCCCTGGGCCTGGCAGGTGAACATGGCCGTGGTCCCAGCGGGCCTGGAGATGGACTGTGGGTGCTGCACGAACTCGGCTGGTGCTGGAGCACAGAAAAGCGTGTGGGGTCCACGCAGCCACTCCTGGTGACCCCTCCAGCTCCCTCCTTCGCTCACCCCAGAGGGGACTCCATGTTAACAACTACTCAAAAGACAGACATTGGTATCTGAGAGTAATCGACCTGAGCTCCTCGCTCAGGAAATTGTTAAATAAATAAATGTGCTAATAGGTTTGGCTGTACCTCCTGGACGGTAACGACGGAGACGGATGAGCCCTGGGTCCCGGTTCCCCAGTCCCCACACTCGATCCCAGCCTCCAGCCTCCATTAACACCCAGAAATGGAACGTTCCGTCACCTTCATTTGGATGGATTAAGGGCACCCAGGAAAGCCAGCCAAACACATTGAAGTTCCTAATTCCCCGACTCCTGTGCCTTCTGCTGTTCTCAAGGCAGGAGCAGACCTGGGACACCCCCAGAAATGGAACCACAAGCCCCGTCACAGCGACCATCGAGCCCAGGGCAGGGCTGGGGGGGCGTTGCATGCAAGGCGAGTGCGGCTGTGCAGGGTGTGAAAATGACAGGCAGGCAGGTGTGAGTGCGGCAGGGCCACATGTGTGAATGAGATGGCACGTGGGGGAGGGATGTGTGACAAGGGGTGGGGACAACCAGCTGAGACAGAAAGTGGCAAGGACTCCTGGGGTGGGGGGGCAGGGCTGGCACCAAGAGGCTGTGTCCCCAACACATGTTCCTGGGGCGCAGAGCCTCTGCCTTTGCCTGGCCTGGGGCCTGGGGAGACAGAGGGTGCCGAGGAGCTGGGAACAGGGCAGGAGGCTGCTCCTCCCACCTGGACATCGTCCTACCTTGCACCACCAGCCGGCCCTGCGCCGTCCTCCTCACCCGCGTGCCTGGCCTGTTGGCTGCGCACACGTAGACACCCGAGTGCTGCACGGTCACGTCAGAGATGATGAGGTTCCCCGTGCCCAGCACCTGGATGCCCTCTACACCGATGGGGCGGCCATCTGGGAAGGGCAGGGGCGAGCCTTCACCAGCCTTCCAAGGGGCTGTCACCTCTCTTTCCTTTCTTTTTTCAGTACTACAGATTGAACCCAGGGTCTTCTCACTGACCTACATCGCCAGTCCTTTTTTATTTTGAGGCAGGATCTTGCTAAATCACTAAATTGCCCAGGCTGAGCTCAAACTTGTGATCCTCCTGCCTCAGCCTCCCCCAGTGCTGGGATTACAGGAGTGTCTCACCACTACTGGCTAAGGAAGCCCAGAGAAGGGAAAAACCCTCCAGCCTCAGCACCAGGGCCTGAGTTCTGACCCCAGCACCACCTCAAACTCACTGCTGACCTTCAAGCCACTTCTGTTTCTCAAGCCACACAGGAAGGGCTTTGGATTAAAATTCCCAGCCCGGTCTATCTCCCTTTGAAAAAGTTCCGGGATGGAATACCCATTCCACTGTAGGGTGCTGGGTCACAACAGCCACTAACAGAAATGCTCTGAGAAGTCCTGCAGTCAAAGGACCCGAGGAACTTGGTTTCCTAAACTTGTCAGGCCATCAAGTCTTTCTTTCCCTCCTGATGGATCACACTTTGGGTAATGTGGGACCAGATGGTCCCTTCAGGGCCCAGTGGCCGCTCCTGATGGCGAGGCCACTCTTTCCAGCCTCTCCCAGGGATCTGGGCCCTCCCCCAAACCCAGGATCAGATTAGCACAGTCAGAACACAAGGAGACAGCTCCCCATTCAGGCCCTGAAGTGGTGAAATCTACTCCATTATCCAGCCTGGGGCCCCTCCTTCCCCATCACTCAGCTGCTACAATGTGGCAGTGTCCCTGTGAATACGGCCCCACCCCACCCCTCCGCAGCCTCCTTCCCCCGTGACCTCTCCGCTCAGACAATGTGGGCCCATCTGCACCCTTTCCTTTCTTCCTTCAGCTGCCCAGGGATTTAGGCTGGGGACACAGGGGGACAGACTAGAGGATGGGGGGCCCATAGCGAGGTTGAGAGTTTGAGGGACCTGGGATTGCATAGCTGGGGGTGTGGTCAGGGGACGGAGGGCAGGGGCCAGTGCAGGCAAGGGTCCTTGGAGAGGGAGATGGGATGGGATGCCAGGGTAACCCAGGGAGCTAAGCCTGTCCCAAGGGGGCCGGAATTCGATGGACAGAAGAGGGGACCCAGCCCTCCCCAGGACACAGGCAGGAACTGACCGCCATGGAGAACAGACAGGATTCAGAGCCCCCCAGAGCCGATGATGGGACCCAGAGCCCTGCCCTCCCAGGGGGGCCAGACTGTGGGCTGAGGCTCACCCAGGCGGCTCCAGGACACAATGGGGCGTGGGTTACCCGTGGCGACGCACTCCAGCACCGCAGTCTGGTGCACCGTCAGGGTGAGGTTCTCAGGCCCCACTAGGATCATGGGTTCCTTGTAGGCCCCGGAGCCCGAGCCTGGGAGGAGAAGACCATATTCCCTCACTCCAGCTGGGAGCTTCTTCCTCACCCCACCCAATGTCCGCAAAGGACAGACACCACCCCAGAAACCAAGTCTCAGGGGCCCGGGGAAAGCAGGGGGATTCAGCAGGGGACAGTGGGGTTTTCCAGGTGAAGCAGAGCGAGGCCTCCATGCCAGCTGCAGCGCACACTCTGAGCCCCGTTCTAGGTAAGCACGATGCATACGCTTGGCCACCAAGCCCTGGAGGCCAGGGACCCTCACCTGATACCGTAAGCCGGGCCCCGTGGCTGATTCGGACACTGGCGATGTTCGAGGCCACACAGTGGAAGACACCACTGTCCTCGGCCCGGAGGCCTGTGATCTGCAGGACCCCCTTGGGCAGCAACGTGTACCTGAGGACAGGTAGGCAGCACAGTTATTGGCACTGTGGGCCACAGGGGCATGGAGTGTCAAGACCCAGCCCGGGCCCTGTGCACTGCTCCAAAGACACAGTTGTCACAGGCAGGTTCGTGTGCCTAGAGCCCGGGCCACTGTCTCCAAGTAGAGTTGCGACCAGCTTCTCATCCCTCCAACCGGGACTCACCTCTCGTTGTCTGTGTCGATGGGCACTCTGTTCTTTTCCCACGTGATCAGGGGCTTAGGAAGCCCGTGGATTTGGCACTGGAAGCGGGCCACACCACCCTCCTCGCCCACGGTGGCCTGGGGGTGCACATGGAAGTCCGACATAGCTGCGGAAGAGAGCAAGGTGGGTGAAACCTGCTGGGGCAGAGGAGAGGGCTGGGGCTGGCACTGTGCCCTGGAGCTCAACCAAGAGGGGACAGAGGTGTGCAGTGGCAGACAGGCTGGCTGGGCCCCTTTGAGGGAGGTCTAGGACAACGCCAGGACGGCCACACTTCCACAGGGACAATTCAGCCTGTGTGCGCAGGCATCCCCAGAACGGACCCAAGAAGGCCAACCAGGGAAAGCACTGATCCCAAGTCTGCGCCCCACTTTTTCAGCTGCTTTCAGATTTATTTTCACCAACTCTTCCTGCAGGATGCCAGCCCTGAGTATTATGCTCCACATCTTACTGCACTGGAAACTGAGGCCCAGGGGAGGGGTGATTAGTCCAATGTGGCCCAGCAGGGACACCACAAAGTTGTCAGACCCTGGTTAGTAGGCTTCCTTCCCCCTTCCCTTTTTTATCCCCCACCCCTGGTTCTTCTGTAGTTTCTCGTGGTGCCCCAAGAGGGTGGTGCACCGCCCAGGGTGACAAGCTCTGGAAGACTGTCAAACCTACCAATCTACATTTCAATGTGTCATAAATATTCAGGGGCCCCTCTCCACCTTTTGGGGATCTAAACTCACTGCTTCAATTCTGGTCTGCAGAGCTGGGTGCAGAGGGGCTGTGACAGACCCCCTTCTCCCAGCGTGAGGCTGGTTAAGTGTCCTCCTCACCCTCACCCCCACCAGGCGCAGGCCCCTCTCCTGAGGCTTGGCAGGGCCCCGCCCACCCAGGCTCCAGCTTCAGGACTCAGGCTGCAATTGCATTAAAACCCACTTTGCTTCGAGTGCGGGAAGGCGGCTCACCATCTGTCCAGGCAGGCAGCCCCTCCCTCAGGCACTCCATCAACTGGGACAGTCGCTCCCCTCCCCTACAGTGCAGCTTGTCGCTGCTCCTGCTCTGCACTCCCTGGTGTAGCAGGCAGCCCTCCCCACAAGCCCGACACCCTGTCTCAGGCCCCCTCCAGCCACAGGCCTCTTGAGGACTCCAGGCTGCCCAGAAAGGCCGTGCCTTTGTGCCCTTCTACCCAGAGTCCCTGGGGGCTGGCTCCTCCTTTATGGCACATTCCCATCTCATTTGCATGTGGTTCATTAAATATAAACATGCGTAAAACCCCTGCCCTGCCTCCTCCTCTTCATGGGCCTCCTGGGAGTGTGGCGGATGGGTGTGTATGCCTCGTACATATGTGAGGGGCTGCGCTCCATGCCTGTGGCCTGGGTGGCACCTGGATGGGAATGGGGGATTGAATTCCACAGCTCCAGTGGCTGGCATGTGACTCTGGTACTGTGTACATTACGAAGCCCATGTGTTCCATGTAGGTTCAGTTCTTAGAGAAGGTACCTGAGGCCCGGGGGTGGCCTGGTGGGTGCCCCACCAGCATGGTGACAGGACCTCCAGGGATCACTGACAATTGCCAGCCCAGTCTCAGGCCAAAACCTGCAGGCCAGCCGGAGGGTTAGAGAGGGGCCTCAATGGCCAAAGGAGCCCCTCTAGTGCCTGTGTCCCCAAACACCAGGAAGGTTGGCTGCAGGCCTGGGGAGTATCTAGCGCACCCGTGATCCTGGTTTCTGGCTCTACATCTGTCCCTCCTGGGGCTCTGCCCATTTGGGAGCCTGCCCCCTTCTTGCTCCAGCTGGAGAGAAGCTCCAAGCCCCCCAGGGACAGGGGCGGGGACTAATGGCTCTGCTGACTGCAGATGCCTCCTCATTAAGGAGCCAAGCCTTTTGTGCCTCTGGCCCCCATTCTGGGCTCCCTTGAGACACCTAGTGCTGGGAGCTGGCCTGAGGACAGACAGACCAGGAAGGGGCTGCCGCTTCTTGGGGAGCAGGAGGGAGAAAGTCCAGTCTCCCCAGACCCCACCCACCTTGCCATAGTGCCTGGGCTCATAGTGAGTTCCAGGTCAGTCTCAACTACACAGTGAGACCCTGTCTCAAAAAAAACAAAGGAAAAAAAAATAGGGCCAGGGATTTAGCACAGTGATGCCGCCACCTACCTTGCAAGTGCAAGGACCCGAGTTCGATCCCCACTCTGGCTGGGGATCCTGGGCTTCCCTGGGGGTCCTCCCTAGCCACATCTTCCCTCCATCAGAGCAGCTCCTCATGGAACTTCTCTGTCAGCAGTACTGGATGTGTTCTGGGTGCTTGAAGAGTAGGTTTGCCTTGTAAAATGTTTTAAAACCACTTCGAAGCAAATTCTGTCACTTTACAAAGGGGAAACTGAGGCCTAGCCCTTTGCTGGGATGACCTTGGGGTCCTCAGCAAGTTTTAGTGAGCACCCAACCAGAATGAATTTTGAAATAGCCTCTTGGAGGGGAGATAAGGAGGCCTAGGAACAGTTCCCAACCCTGTGCCTAGGACCCCAACTGGCCTTGTCCCCAGGGCTCCTTTTGACTTCCGCTCCCCACACTCTGGTCATCCCTGCACATCCCTTGGGGACTCAGGCCTTGCTGGGGGACCAGGTATGCAGCATACACAAAGGCCCTTGTCCGGAGCCACAGCCTAAGCAGGCTACTCAGTTTAGCTGCCTTCATTTCCTCCAGATGTTCCTTTCATCACAGGGTTGGGGAGGAAGGATCTCACACTGCTTCTCTCTGGTCTCAGGAGGGAAGATGCTTGGTTCACAAGTCTGTTCTTGCTCTGGCTGAGCAAGGTAGCAAGGCTGGGGCCAGGGTCTGTCCTTCACAGTGTCTTTCTGCAGAGGGGGTTCTTGAGTGGCTGGACTGAGGGCTGAAGCTCTAAGCCCTGAGTAAGTCCATCTTGAAGTGCTGCTGTGATGTTGGCTGCTGATGCTTGGCACTTGTTGGCCTAGTGGGACAGTTTTGGGACCCTCACTTCAAGCTGGGAGATGTGATGGGGCAACAGGCACTGACTGGAAGCCCACCAGGTGTGGGGCAGAGAAAGCAATGGGAAAAGGAAGAAGAAAGCATCTTGGGCCCCAAGCAATCTAGCAATCTAGCAAGGAGTCTCCCAGCCCTTTCCTGCCCTCCCAGGCTGTGGAAGGGACCAAGGGGCTGAGAGTGAGCCTGGCCTTTGGTTGGGCTGGGAGGGAGCAGAATGAGGCAGGAAGCGATTCCTGGACACCCCTATAAATCACCCCAAGGGGAAGGGTCTCCGGAGAGCCAGATCTAGGGCAGCTCAGGGAGGGGAGCGGGGACTTCACTCCCGGTCCAGGACCTCTGGTGAGGTCAGGCCTGGATGTGATTAGACAGGCTCCAGACAGGCAGAGGGGCCAAAAAGGGTCAAGCCAGAGCACTGGGAAGGAAGTTCCGGCCTCCCACCCTTTGGCCACAGCCAGATTCCTATCCGGTGTGTGATGATAAAAAGACCTGTGGTCCTATGTGGATGGAGAATTCAAAGCACAGCCTTTGAGAAAGCTGGTATCACTGGGGATGTAAGGCAGTGACTGTCCCCTGCTGTGCAGCCATTCAAAAGTGGTGACTGTGTACCAGACTCTTCCAAAGTATCCACCCCTGTGAAGGACCAGGGACACAGCCTCTGGGATGTCCAGCCCCTTGGACAACTAGGACAACTATATACCATTTTGCTTACACAACATCCATGCCTGAATCCTACACACTGCCACCCACTTCCCCTAACTTTTCCCTCTAGAAGCACATTTCAAAAGTATTGGCTCAGTGTTTGTGAGGGGTCAGTTCCAGCATCACCTAAACATATTAAAATCTGTGGATACTTAAGTTCTTTATATAAATTGTGGTAGCATTTGCATATAATCTATGCATACCCCCCTGCATTATTTTAAATCTTTTCTAGATTACTTATGATTCCTACTACAAGTGCTATGAAAATCTTTTTTTTTTTTTTTACCAGGGATCAAACTCGAGTCCTTGTGCTTGCAAGGCAGGCAGCAGAACCACTGAGCTAAATCCCCGGCCCATGAAAATTATTCTTATAACATATTATTTAGAGAATGATGACAAGAAAAACATTTGTACATATTCAGTATAGCTGCTCTTTTTTTTTTTTTTTTGCCATGCTGGGGATGGAACCCAAGGCCTCCTATATGCTAGGTAAGTTCTCTATCACTCCCCACACCCCAATTTAAAAATACATTTTTTAAATTTACCATGGTTGAATCTAGGACTTGGAACTTGCAGATACAAAAAGCCAATTGTAGTAGCAGTAGTGGCTAACTGTGAAGTACTTGATATGTGATCAGTCCAAATTGAGATGGGCCTTCAATATAATTTAGACACTGGATTTTGAAAACTTAGTATATTAAAAAAGAAAAGATAATAATTTTTAGGGAAATACTTACTAGAATGAGTTCTATTAAAAATACAGAAAATAGTTGGGCGTGGTGGTGCATGCCTGTTATCCCAGCACTCAGGAGGCTGAGGCAGGAGGATCACTGTGAGTTTGAGACCAGCCTGGGCTCATAGTGAGTTCCAGGTCAGTCTCAACTACACAGTGAGACCCTGTCTCAAAAAAAACAAAGGAAAAAAAAATAGGGCCAGGGATTTAGCACAGTGATGCCGCCACCTACCTTGCAAGTGCAAGGACCCGAGTTCGATCCCCACTACCTAAATAAATAAATAAATAAATAAAACAGAAAATAAGCTGGGTAGGTGGCACACACATCTTGTGTCAGTTACTCTGGAGTCTAGGAGTTTGATGTCAGTTTGGACAGCCTGGAAAGACTTCATTTCAAAACAAAACAACACACACGCACACGCACACACACACGCACACACACACATATAAAACAATCAGAAAATGGGTATTGATGGGAAGTGGAGAAATTGGAACCCTTCGCATTGCTGATGGAAAAGTACCATGAGGTAGCTGCTCTAGAAGATGGTATGGCAGTTCCTCAAAAAATTAGAGATCAGGGCTGGAGGGTGGCTCCATGGACAGCATGTTTTTAGCTTGCACCAGGCCCTGAATTTGATCTCAGTACCATAAACAAACAAACAAACAAATAAATGCAATTACCATATGATCTAGCAATTCCACTTGAAGGTACATACCCAAGGCAATTGAAACCAGAGACTCAAAGAGATATGTAATAATGCTCACAGCAGCACTATTCACAACAGATAAAAGGGGGAAACAAGTCTTGTCTATCAACAGATAAATGAGTGAACAAAATGTTGTCTCTACCCACAATGGACCAT